TATAGTATCTCCTCTACTGTTTGGTATTCTCATATAAGACTGCTTTGACCTCTGCTCCCTTCATCCTTTGTCTTTCCAAATGGAATGGCTTTGTCTGCAGTTCCATTTTTCAGCAGACTTTCTGTGAGCTCTTGCTTTTGAGCCTGGGCAACCAATGAGAAAGTCTCTTGCATTGCCTGTACATGATCCAGAGTTAATAATGATGATGGTTATAGCTAACACTTATACAGTGCTCACTATATGCCAGGCACTGTGTTAAGAACTCTATGATTATTATTTCATTTGATCCTCACAACAACCCTGGGAGGTAGATGTTGTTATCTCTATTTTATTATCTCTATTTTACAGATGAGGAAACTGAGGCAAACAGAGGTTAAGTGACTTGCCTAGAGTCACACAGCAAGGAAATGTTTGAGGCTGGATTTGAACTCAGGTTTTCCTGACTCCAGAGTTACTTGAAGTTAGACTGTTCTGAGTTGGGCCACTCTTTGCTCAGCCACTCCATTCCTCTAACATCTTTCTAGAGTGAGGAGATTGATTGGGCATACTGTCTGCTTACTTACTGATTATGTTCTGGAGACTGCCCATCTAGTGAAAGTCAGCTGACAGAGGCCCAGGGGCTAGGGCTCTCCTTGGAAGAGCTGCCCCAGTTTTAAAAACCCTATCAGTAAGTTGCAAGAGAGTGCAGGATAGACTTCCTGACAAATTCTCCTTAGGTTGTTTTTATTTTTTTTTAAGACCAGTTATAATTTTGTCGTTTGTTGTCCCCCTCAGTAAGCATCAGCTGTGCTGACAGACCCCTGAATTCTTAGACTTTTCCCCATTTGAAGCAGCGTCACTTCCTCAGGTTGAGCTATTCCTCTTTCTATGCAGCAGGATAGCCCTACATAACACAAAACTTAAGTTTCCCCGCTTTGTGCTGAATAATAATAATAGCTAGCTAATATTTACAGACCTTTTTTTGTTTGCAAAGCAATTTACACGCTATCTCATTTGACCCACACTATGACCACAACCCAATTGCTATTATCCCCATTTGACAGATGAGGAAACTGAAGCTGAGAGAGGTTAAAGTGATTTGTCCAGGGTCTGTGGAGAACAAACAACCTTGACCAAACTACCCTCCCATTGTGCTGCAGACTCATTAGCAAAACTTGACTCAACTATGTCCATCCTGCTTAATTATTGTTATTGTGGTTTGTGCTTCATTCTTGAAGAGGACCAATGACATCTGGAGGGTGACGTCTTGATTTGCAAGTGAATTGGATTTAAGTGAGGCAGGGCTGTGAAAAGTCCTGCCTAAGCTAAATACACAAAGCCTTTGGGCACATAGCATTCTCTAGCTGTCCTGGATTCCAACAAAGGTTGCACCCGACATGCACCTGGGAATTTTCCAGCTTTCTTATCAGGGCAGTTGACATCCCCATTGGTCCATTCAAATGCCACAGAATGTTGCTGATTGACCACATAGTCTAAGCAGGCCTAAAAAAACTGTATAAGCCACTTCTTTTTTTTTGGTAATTGGTGTGAAGTGACTTGCCCAGCATTACACAGCTAGTAAGTGTCAAGTGTTTGCTCTGAGGCCATATTTGAACTCAGGTCCTCCTGACTTCTGGGCCAGTACTCTATCCACTGCACCACCTAGCTGCCCGTATAAGCCACTTCTGTATCAGGAATCCGAAGCTGCTATCAATCAGTAAGCAGTCTTCCATGGCATGCTAATGCATAGTGGGTAAGATTCTCCCTGGGCTCTCAAGGAACCCAGGATAAGAAATTCCCCAACAGGTCACACAGCTAGTCTGAGAAGGAACTGGAATTCATCTCTTTCTGACCCCAAAGCCAGCGTGCTCTATTTACTGAGCCAACAAGCTGAATAATCTCACTAAATTTAGCAACTGCCTTTCTCACCTGAAATCCAGGTGATTTCAGCATCTTCTGCCCACAGGAAAAGAATAGGAGCTGCCCCTGAGATTTCATAGTAGGTCCTTGATAAATGATGTTAACTTTTTAGCCAGAGGGAATTGCTCAGCCTCTCAGATGCCCACAGGTAACTGTTGCATTATAGATTTTTTTTTTTTGGCAAGGCAATGGCATGAAGTGACTTGCCCAGGATCACACAGCTAGTAAGCATCAAGGTCAGATTTGAACTCAGGTCTTCTGAATCCAAGGCCAGTGCTCTATCCACTGTGCCATTTAGCTGCCCCCATTTTAGATATATTTAGATTGTCTTTTCTTTTCTGATAGAGCAATAGTAGTAGAAGTATCATTTGATGAGAGGAGAGGGTATTGGGGTGAGGCAAAGTTCAGCATTCCTGACAAACAGCCTAGGAAAAAATAATTCGGAATCAGTTCTAAGTTCATTTCAAATTCATATCAATGCAGTGGTTTAGAGCTGCAAATCACTCCACTGTATATTACAGCACCAATCACCCTCATAAAAGGTGACAGGATAGAAGATTAATTACCACCAATTCCATTAAAAGCAGAAATCTCTTTTAGTTTTGTCCAAGATCTAGTGCTGAATACTGATGGGAAGCCATTCCCAAGGACATTTGGCAGGCAAGAGATAAATGTTCCAGATGAGTAAGACTCTCAGGCATCATACTTGTTGATCTTATCTTCAGATCACAGACTGAAGGACCCAAATGACTGCAATTTGTAACCATAAAAACAAATTCCAAACCATCTTTCTCAGTCTTTTCTTTGAAGTATGAGTAGAGCTCAATAAATCTCTCTCTTGTCCATGAAACAGCATTAGTTTAATAAAGTTCACTCCTGGGCACCTTAGATTGGGAATAAATCAACTTCAAATATAAAGAGATGAGACAGCTCTGGGCATAGTGTAGGAAGTCAATTTCTGGAAGAGCTATCTGGAAAGACAGCCTGCTGAATTAGGCATTCTTAATCATAAAAACTCAAAACCATTTTAAACTTTTGCAAAACTCAACTTTTTCAGGAGTGCCATACAGAAGTACCATGCTTAAAAATAATCTGTATCTTGGCAAAAAAAAAAAGATGGGCATAGTAAATGTTGGATGGTTTGTGGAAAGATAGGCACACTAATACACTATTGGTGGAGCTGTGAATTGGTTCAACCATTCTGGAAAGCAATTTGGAATTATGCTAAGAAAGTGATTAGGGATGGGATAAGCAATGATGGAAGGAAGGGAATATGCATATATATATATATATATATATATATATATATACACAACACACACACACACACACACACACACACATATATCTATACATACATATACATGTGTGTGTGTGTGTCCTACTATGCCAGGCACTGTGCTAAGCACTTTTTTTTAAAAATTATTTTATTTTTAATTTATGGGATAAAACAAGAATTTCCATAACATAGTATAATAAAAAAAGATTGCATCTGAAGCTGAAAATCTATTATGTACAACTTGCTATTCTATTTACATATATAATAAATGTATATATATCACTTTTATATATTCTTTTTTCTCCCCCCCACCTAAATACTTTTTTACAAACATTATCTCATTTGAGCCTTACAACAACCCTTTGAGGTAGGTATTATTATTATTTTAAGCATTTTATAATTGTGGAAATTGAGGCAAACAAAGGTCAGGTGACTTGCCCAGGGTCATACAGCTACTAAAGATCTGGGGCTGGATTTGAATTCAAAGTACTCCTAACTCCAGGTCTAGGACTTTATCCACTGCACCACTAGTTGCCTCAAAAGGACATGGACTAAAATGTACATACCCTTTGGCTCAGAGACACCATTTGTGTGTATCCTATACACTTCTATTAGGCTGTGATCTTCATGAGGCCAGGGACCATATTTTGTTTTAATTTCATTTCTCCTTTGAGAAATAAGAAAAAAAGAAAGAGAGCTCTAGGGGGAAAAAAAAGATTTCAAAGAAAATCTTGAATAGAGAATCAGGTTTCTTTATTGGACTCCAGGGGAAAAAAAAAACCAAACAAGCTAGAAAGACTTTTGAAGCGTGACTCTGATAAGACATGTGACCTTCAGCATTCAAGACCCAGATTTTTGTTATAATTTTGAAAATTAGAGGACTTTCTGGGAAAACAAGGTCCAGGCAACTGAAGTAAAAGAGAAAATAATATGACAGTTAGCTACGTACTTTATTATATCTAAATCATAGAATTATAGAATTTGAGAGGTGGAAGAATCATCAATCCAATCACAAAAAGATCCACAAAAAAGAGTCTTCACCATATCATACTCAACAAATGGTATTTCAGCCTCTCTTTGAAGACATCCTAGGAGGGGGACTCCACCAATTTTCCAGCCAAGCCATTCCATTTTTAGATAGCTCTAATTATTAGGAAGTTTTTCCTGACATTGAGCCTAAATTGGCTTCTTAGTGATTTCTACCCCTTGCTCCTGGTTCTGACCTTGGGGTCAGACAGAATAAGTCTGAGTCACTCCTCATGACAGGCCTTGAAGTCCTGGAAGACAGCTATCATACTCCCCTGAGCCTTCTCTTTTTCAGGATAATCATTCCCAATTCCTTCAAGTGATTCTCCTATGTTCTTCACCCATGGTGGTTGCCTGCCTCGGTTCATTAGCTTATCACTGCCTGGTTCCCAGAATTGAACACAGTACTCCAGATGAAGCTTGACAAGGACAGAGTAGAGGAATACTATTCCTGAAAGCTACACCACTCTTAAAGTAATCTAAAATCTTTTTTTTTTCTTTTTGCTAGGCAATCAGGGGTAAGTGACTTGCCCAAGGTCACACAGCTAGAAAATGTCATGTGTTGTGTGTCTGATACCGGAGTTGAACTCAGGTCCTCCTGACTCCAAGGCAAGAGCTCCATCCACTGCGCCACCTAGCTGCCCCAAATCCCACCTTCCTTAGGAAGCTTTCCCCAACCCCTCTTAATTCCAGTGCCTTTTGTATGCCTGAATATAGCTTGCTTTGTATATGTTTATTTGCATGTCATCTCCCCCATTACATCGAAAGCTTCTTGAGGTTAGGGACTACCTTTCACCTCTTTTTGTATCCCCAGCACTTAGCACAGTACTTGACATAGAGTAGCTGCTTAATTAATATTTATTAATTACTTGATATTCAGTCTACTGCTCCAGCCTTTCAAGATCTTTTTAGGTCCTCTGTCATCCAGTGCGCTATCCCTTTCACCTGTGCATCATCTACAAATTTTATGAGCATTTTATCTATGCCTTTATCCAAGTCATTGTTAGAAATGTTAAACACCATAGTTTCAATCACAGACTTCTGGAGTCCTCCACTGAAGACTTCCTATGCCAAGTCTACATTAAACCATTAACATAAACTCCTCTTTGAGTCCAGCCATCCAATCAGCTAGGAGAGCATATTATTGTCTTAACCCATATCTCTCCATCTTCTCCACAAGACTGGTATGAGGTAGTTTATCAAAAGCTTTGTTAAAATCTAGGTAAACTATATACACAGCATTCCTCTCACCTTTTAGTTTAGTAATCATATCAAAAAAGGAAATGAGGTTATTCTGGCCAGACCTGTTCATGCTGAAGCCATACCAGTCCTTTTTAATCACCACTTCTCTTTCTAAATGTTTGACAACCATCTCTTTAATGATCCATTGTAGAATTTTCCCAGGAATCAAAGCCAAGCTCACTGGCCAATAGTTTGAAGGCTCTTTTCTTTTTCCTATTTTGAAAATCAGGACCACATTTACCCTTCTCCAATATCATGGTATCTCTCCAGTTTTTTGAAGAAAGGAGGGGAGAAAGAAAGAGAAAAGAGAAGAGAGGGAAAAGGAAAATGAATAATGGAGGAGACAAAGGAAGACTCAAGAAGGGAGGAGGGGAGAGGAGCTGAGTATGGTTTTTAGTCTCTTAGCAATTCCTTACTTCCTAGACTTTTCTCCTGCTAGGTCATAGCTATTCTAAACACAAAATCTCCCAGCATATTTCTTGGGTCTGGATCTTAGAGAAGTACAAGGTAAGACAGAGCTCTTGTTTAATCTGGTTCTAATATACACTCTCTTACAACCCAGAATCATTCCAGCCAAAGCAATCTTCCCATCATCCTTGAGTAGAAGGAGTGAAGAAGCCAGACAGGGGGAGCAAAGAACTTCCTGCTATGCTCAGTGGAAAGCGTCCCCTTTTGGCTTCTTTTCCAGCTACTCTTGGCAATCTTAGCAAGCCCCCTCCAGCTCCTAGTTTAGATCTTACTTAAAGCATATTTATTAGTTCTGAAGCAGGAAACAATGAAGGCAACCTCCATGATCTCTTAATGTTTACCTGGGCCATTGGAATCCAGTGAAAAGGCAATCTCTTGTTCAATAAATAAAAATAAACAAGGCTCAGGAGCTTTCTGGCTGTTAGTGGTCTTCTGTGCTTGTTTGCTTCATTTGTTTGTTAGGAGGAGAAAAGGAAAGAAGATGAAAGAGAATGTAACTTTTTGAAAGTCTGTTGCTTTTTCTATTTTTCTTTTTAAATGTATTTTTACCCTGTCAGGCTATCTCACCAGATATCACCAATTTCCTGCGGATTTCTTCTCCAGCTGCATTTAAATATTATTCACAAGATAACTGTGCATCACATAGGAAAATGAGACTCCAGAGAAGGATTCTCCCAGAGCCTCCCCCAGCAACAGGAGGCCCTGGAATGCCAGGCAGTTTTTCTATTCCCCAAATCCAAACTGCTTAGTGATTCCAGCTGCTTCTCAAGGATTGAAACTTTGATATGAAAATAGAGAGCACCCAATCCCTTGTAGCTAAGATTCCCCCTAGAGAGCATGGAAGGGGAAAGAGAAAGATACCAGATGCTCTCTACCTACACTGTGTTGGTAGACAAAGTATTACTGGCTTCTCTCTTCTCAAACACTAAAGGTATTAGGTTTAGACTTTCTCTGTAATCACATCCAAGTGTTTGACATTCACCTATTCAGGGGGAAAACACTTCTTTTCTTTGTAGGAATCAGGATAGAATTTCTTTTGGTCTTTTGTCCATTATAGGCAATTTAGGTCATTTTCCTCTATGTCTTGAAAAGAAACATAATTTCCCTCATGTATCCATCCAACTTTATTGAATGAAAATCTGCTTGGACGACTCAATAGTCATCCTAGCTATCTCACTGGATCCCCCTTGTGACATGTATTCATGGTTACAAATGCAATTCACAACCACTAAGCCCTTAATCAATAAACCAACAAGCAGTTTTTTAGTGCCCACTGTATGCCAGATACTGGGGGCATGAAGGAAAAAATGAACGTTTCTGCCCTCCAGGAGCCCACATTCTATCTGGCAAGTAAAAAATGTGTGGTGTTGTGTGTGTGTGTGTGTGTGTGTGTATGTGTGTATGTGTGTGTGCATAAGGCATTATGTATGTGTCCATATGTGTATTATAAATATACATACAAACACACACATATACAAATGTGCACCTATAGGTTGAATATATAGATATGTGGGTTCATACTAAAAATAATGATAATAGCTAGCATTTACATAGTACTTTCAGTTTTGCAAAGCACTTTACATTTTATCCTCACAACAACCCCTGGAAGGTGATTTTTTTTTTTTAGGCAATTGGGGTTGAGTGACTTGCCCAGGGTCACACAGCTAGTAAGTTGAAGGTGATATTATTATCCCCAGTTTACAGATGAGGAAACTAAGGCAGACAGAAATGACTTAATACATACAAAATAAATGGTGAGTGTTTTTGATCCGAAGCCTACTGATAGCTTGGAGGGGGAAGGGGTTTCACTGGTAGTTTTGGTAGGGATAGAAGAGGAAGCAAATTATTCCATAAGAGGATTTAATGTGACTTAAGTCAGCTTATTTTTGTGCACTAATAATAATAATGATAATCTTTTGCCTACATAAAGTTTTTTAAGTTCTTAAAAGTTTATATTATGTATATATATATATATATATATATATTCATATTTAGTGTTTCATTTGATCTTCATAAAAACCTATAAGGTAGGAGGGAATAGATATTATTATCACAGGTACGGAAAATGAAGCCCAGAAAAGAGAAATGACTTGCCCAAGTCATATAGTCAGTGAGTAACAGCAGAAAACTGGCTAGACAACTGTTCGTGTAAAAGAGTTCCTGAAGTTTTGGTGGATTGCAAATTCAAAATAAATAAACTATCTGATATGGCAGGCTCAAAAAGAAGCTAATATAGTCATAGGTTGCATTCATGGAGAGAGGCATCCAGAATGAGAGAAGAAAAATTCCCACTGTATTCCACGTGGTCAGGCCACATCTGACATATCATATTTACCTCTATGTGCCAAATTTTAAGAACAGCATTTTCAAACTGCAGTGGAACCAGAAGAGGAAAATCAGGATGGTAAGGGAGTTGGGTGCCATTTTATCAAGGATAGGTTGAAGGAGCTGGGGATACTTAACCCAGAGAGTATCCAATTTAGAAGAGACAAGGTAATTGTTTTCCGATATGTGAAGGAGTGTCATATGAAAGAAGGATTAAGGTTTTTCTGCTGGGGCTCAGAAGGGAGGACTAGTAGCAATGGGTAAAAGTTGCAGAGGATTAGATTTAGGCTCAATGTAAGAAAAAAAACTCCCTAATAATTAGAGTTGTTCAAAGGTGGAACAGATTGTCCAACACTGAAGGTTTTCAAGTGGAAGCCGGTGGACCACTTGTGTGGGATATAGTGGAAGGAATTCCAATTCAATTATTGGACTTTATGACCTCTGAAGACCCTTCCAACTCTGAAATTCTATGATTTAGTGAACTTAACACACTAAGAGTCACTAACTATAGCCCTATCCTGTTCTGGAAAGCATCCTCTTGCTGAAGAAGAGGCTGGTATTGCTTTGTCCTAATAAATAATTTATTTAGCACTTATTACCTGCTAGGAGTTGGACTTATACTCCTTCCTGCCCAGAAGCAGGGCCCAGAAAAGGTTTCAAAGAGCAGAGTAAAGAGATGGATGAAGAGTTTGGAGAGGGATTGGTGCCATTGATTATTGTTTTTAGGATTATCCAAAATACAATGATAAAAAGGTAGGGAAGACAGTGGTTTTGATGCTCCCTGAAATGCAAGACAAAAGCTAACCAACTCCATTCAAACACTTTCAGTCCTCTGAAGTGAAGCTCCCACAGTAATTTATATGAACCACCAGGAATGTAATGGACATAAAGGAGATGAAATATACATTTTTCCCATGTTTTAGGTCTCATCATTAATTGTTTGGACCCTTTAGACTCTAGCTTTTGCATTTTGGAATATCATATTCTAAGATTTTCTCTCCTTCATAAATGTTGCTGCCAAATCTTGTGTGATCCTGACTGTAATCTTGGTATTATTTTTTTTCCCTAGATGCTTGCAATATTTTATCTCTCCTGAAAGCTTCGTATTTTTGCAGTGGTGTTTCCTGGGAGTTTTTACTTTTGGATTTCTTTCAGTAGGTGGCCAGTGGATTCTATTTACATTTTGCCCTTTGGATCTAGTAAATTTGCTTTCTAGAGTTTTAGTTCATGATTTCTTAAAATATGGTTTCCAGAATTTTTTTAGTCATGGTTTTCAGGGGGTCTAATCATTCTTAAATTATATCTTCTTGATCAGTTTTCCAGGTCAATTGTTTCTGATAGTAGACACCTTACATTTTCTCCTTTTTTTTTTCATTTTTTGGTTTTGTTCTAATATATCTTGGAGTAATTAATATCTGTTTATTCTAATTTTCAGAGAGTAAGCTATTTTGGTAAAGGTTTCTACCTTCAACTCTAAGCTATTTATTCTCCTTACAAATTTTTCCTATATAACTCTTTTAAAAGTTTTATATTCTTGTTTCATTTCTTCCAGGTACTCTTGCAGTCCTTGTGGCCAAGCCATTTTATTTCTCAAGCTCTGCTTGCACTTACTTAGGAATTATTGCCTTCCTTTTTTTTTTGTGTGAGACAATCAGGGTTAAGTGACTTGCCTGGGGTCACACAACTAGTAAGTGTCAATTGTCTGAGGCTGGATCTGAACTCAGGTCTTCCTAACTCCAAGGCTGAAGCTCTATCCACTGCACCACCTAGCTGCCCCAAATTATTGTCTTCCTTCAAGCTCACCTCTTAAGCATTACTTGACCCATAATACTTTTTCATAGTGTTCAGTGTTTTCTGTTTACTCTTTAGCCACAATTCCTGTTTATGCCAGGGTTATATACCTCCCCATCTCCAAGTCTTATATGGAATAGTCAGACCCTGTTTGATTCTGACCTTAATTTCCTGTATTCCTACCATGCTAACAGTTCTAGGTTTTTTCCCCAAGTGAAAAAAAAAGGGAGAGTCAAAGGCCAAGTCATCTGAGTAGTAGTATCAAGAAGTCATCCAAGTCTCTCTTGGCCTCAATTTCTCTTCACTCTCCTGAGTGCAACAGGTGGGTTTTCCTTACTTGTCTCTATCCAAAGTCAGATAAAGAGAACATCTCCTCTTCACACCCTGTGCCTCTTCTTTGAGAAGACCATTCAAAGATGGCTCCCAGTCAGGCGAAAGTCATCAGATAAGAGAAGTATTCCTGCCACACACACCCATGTGTCACTGTAGGAGTAGGCCTTTTCCTAATCGTTTCCTGGAGCTGTCCTTCCTGATAGTGATGCTCACCTATTTCCTTTCAACTGAAGAGGACTTGGAAACCAGGGCAGGGACTGATAAACCAAATTAGACCCTGGGGTGAAGTCATTCAGTGGCTCTTTTACACCCAACAGCTGGGCCAAGAGGCATGAAACCCTGCCAAGGGAAGCTGATCCAAGAAGAATGGAGAGGGCTAGTTTCTTACTCAGATGAAAAGGGTATAAAGGGAATAAGATAGCCAAAGGTCAGGGACCATAGGAAGGCCAATAGGAGACTGTTTTCTTCACCATTTAATTAGCAACAGGAAAGGGACTTCTGGAACCTGGTGTTTACAAAGCAGCTGGATGTTTTTCCTTTAACCCAAGCCCATGAGGATATATCCCTTCCATGGACATGACCTAAAGGCAGAGCCAGTCCTTAGAACAGGGGTTCTTTGGAGTCCATGAACTTGTATTCACAACTATATTCCAATGTAATTGGCTTCCTCTGAAATTCTATGCAATTTTTTATGCATTTCTAAACATTCCAAGAAGGGAGCCATAGGTTTTATCAAATTGCCAGATGGGTCCATCATACACACATGCACGCGCACACACACACACACACACACACACATGTTAAGTGGCTTAGCATGGTGCACAGAAAAAAAACGTTCTCCTTGGAGTCAGAAATGCTGACTCTGCTACCTGTGTAACTTTGGACAAATCCAAGTCTCCTCCTGTGCCTCTGTCTCCTCGATTGCAAAATAAGGAGATTAGGGAAAGGAATAAGCATTTATATAGTGCCCACTATGTGCCAGGTGGCATACTAAGA